AATAACATTGTTTGAAAGCCTGGAATAGGCTTATACAGAATTCAGCATTTATAAACAAACACTAGCTATGAAATCTGAAAGCACGCTATCGAGGCACGCCAGCGAGAAAGAAGAAAGATCACCGTTTGCTTTTGTAAGTTTACACAATACCTTTGGTTCCAAGAGGAGTAGCTCATCTACGAGTTTCGATAATTTTATACTCGCTACGCTTCCAGTGACTCCAATTAACACATTTTTCTGCCTCTTTGGTCTCTTTGTTGGCGGTCCTACTTCTTCCGCCATTTTGAATCGTATTATATTGCAGGCACCCGCTGACCTGATAGCGTTTGTTCTCGCACCGTTCTCGTCCCCCTTAGCCGGCGAGGGCTTGGCACGAGGAAAGGACGGTTCGGGAGACGCGTGATTTTATTGGCTTGAAATGATAATTTCCTGATGGGCTGGAAAGAGGAATATGGAAAAATAGAAAAAGGAAGTATAGAGAAATACAGAAATAGAATATAGAGCAGCTGAAATTATGCCATTCCTGTCCCCATAGCCCTTTTCGCTTCTCTTAGCCGGCGGGGCCTTGGCTAGTGCCAAAGCCCCGCCGGCTAAGAGAAGCGAAAAGGGCTGTGGGGACGAGAATGAAATTATGCCCTCACCCTACCCCCCAACGCCCTTGCACTCGTTCCCAAGGTCTCTTCTCTTCCTCTTTTAGAGGGGACCCTGGGAACAAGGTTGCCTCCATCCTCGTTCTGGTTCAAATCGAAATATTGTCGTTTTTATTTCAATCTCTTCGTTCTAGTGTTGGGATCAAAATTCACGTTTTTATCAGGAGCTTGTGGCCCTCTGTTTCTATCTATTATTTCTAAATTTCTGCTGATCTGTCTACTAAAGATTCAGTATTCAGCACGTAGCTTTTCGCCAGTGCAATTACTAATTATGGGTTGCTGAGCAACAACCCAATTTAAAATCTGTAATGAGCTAGTACCCCCTCTAACGGTGGGGAAAGGGGAGATTTCTGTTTATTTAACATTACGTTCTTAACCATTTACGTTTTCCACGCTATTAAAGTAATTCTTTTTTATTTGAGCTGCCAGCTATTATTATTTAAATACGAACGTTAGAAAGTAACTTATCGGCGTTCAGTGTATCTAAAACAGACTTGTACCTAAATATATTTTAATTTGGATATGCAAGAACTGTTGTATTTCTACACCTAAAATATTAATTAGATACCTGTCTCGAAAGGAAATGTAAACAAAACAGCGTGAGGTAGAAATAAGTGTGTGATCTTTCGCCTCTGCAAGAAACCGAAATACAACCCTTCATGCCAACTGTAATAAAGTTAATTTGGAAAATATTGTCTATCTGTCAGTAATACAGTCAATATGAAAGACTTTCTTAACAGCACTTTTTCTCCTTGTTTTTGGCAAAGCGACTTTTCTTCTTAATTTCCACTACAGCGTCTTTCGTGGGCTTGTCTTTCTCTTTTAAACCCCATCCTGGCACGAATCTTTTCATAATTTCCTCCACAATGCACTCAAACGCTTCATTGATGCTTTCGTTTTCCTTGGCGCTGGTTTCAAAGAAAGCCATGTCGTATTCATCGGCCAGCTTCTCTCCTTCCTCACGCATAACAGCTCTTGGCTGTTCCATATCGCACTTGTTTCCTATAAGCAGTTTGATGACGTCTTCCTTAGCATGTTCATCAATTTTCCTTAACCACTTAGCTATGTTCTCGAACGATCGCCGGCGCGTGATGTCGTAAACAAGCATGATTCCTGCAGCTGTTCTGTAGTAAGACACGCTAATAGCGTGAAATCTTTCCTGGCCCGCTGTATCCCAGACTTGCAGGCGTACTTTCTGTCCTTGTACTTCGATGGTGCGTAACTTGAAATCAATCCCAATGGTGGAAATATATGTATGATTGAACACATCATCTGAAAATCTCCACATAAGACTTGTTTTTCCAACACCGGCATCTCCAAGCAGTAAGACTTTGAACATATAGTCGTACGTTTCTTGATTTGAAATCTTTTTATACGCCATTTCAATCTATAGATCCACTAGTGAGTGCAAGTTCGCGCTGAATTTTTTCACTTTTATACTTTTTTATTAGTGCAGGTGGCACACACGTTTTAAGCTCCGTAGCTGGCCGTGATTGGCTAAAATATTACGTAATCTTTTATGGAATACCTCCAGTTGTTACAAAAGTCACGCACGCAAAATTGACTTCAAGAAAGATACAGCAAGGTGAGGTTTAATTTGGTTCAACTGTCTTTTGTCTTGGAGAAATGTCAATAGAATTGTTAAACAATGAAAAGTACTGAAATTTGAGGTAAAAATATGCATCATGTTTGATCACCTGTTTGCAAGCTAAAAGAAATTAATGAAACATGGCATGATATTTCTGCACACTACTGTTGTCACCCTTAAAAACAAAAAACGTTAAGTAAATTGCTGATATTTCTAGCTGCAACTGGCTAGATTTAAATTTACCCTATTCGATTAATATCTAAAAAGTATCGTCTAAAAGACTTTGTTTGTAAATATAGAGACGCGGAATTTTTTAAAACGTTTTTCAGTTTTAATACGCATGTTAAGATACGCCGTTTTGCAAAGTTTAAAGTAATGCTGTAAGGACGGCTCAGAACCACCTTAATTTTTGAAAGCTTGAAATTGTTTTAAACCCTACCAACAGAATTTTTTAAACTTTGCAAAACCTTGTATTTTAACAAGCTTATCACATTTCCATACTGAAAAGATGAGCTTCACAGAGCCGTAGCTAGTTATCCGTGAAACTTGTTTTGTTTTATTTCCAACGCCATAATAATTTTGCTGAACAAAAGTGATCGAGCAACTCGACGGCGTTGCATCACAGCATTCGCGCATCGATCAATTAGGACACCAACATCCCCCGGGGTATACCCCAGGTTATTTGACAACTTCTTGAATTGTGTCATGGGGGGGTGGGAATTTGACGGCAGCAGTTGTTATTGGGGTGGGGCATTTGACATCATATGGGAAGGGTAGGGGCCTAAAGGAAACTTGCCTTAAAGTCACAGTCAAGCTAGAAATCACTAAGAGACAGCAGTGTTGAATCACAGTAGTGAAAATCTCAGTCCATGAATCTAGCCAATCAAATCATGTGTCTGCAGAGCTTCTTTTTTTTCTGGCCAAGGTCCCGCCGGCAGAGATTGACAGGCAGCTATGAGAACGAGAGGGGTATGGACCTTGTTTTTGTCTCAGTCTCTTCTTGTCTAAAAGCCCTCACCCCGCAACTTCCTTCCTGGAGTCCGTTTCTCGAAAGCCTCGGAAACTTTTCGGGCCCGTAAAGCCATTTTCAGTTCATCTGTATCTAAAAAGGGACAAGTGTATGCGTCTGAAACTTCTTGTATGAAGGGAACCTCTGTTCATATTAAGAATATGTGAATAAAACAGTTCTGTAATCTTAAGGTTCGAAATTTTGCTATGGCTTCACGGGCCCGAAAATTTTTGGGGGCTTTCGAGAAACGAGCCCCTGATCTTCGTGTGAAAAACAGAATGGAAACAGTCTAGGGAAAAATATCCAGAACACTTCGTTGACTGCAGAACCATCCCAGAAAAAAAAAAAAAAATTAAATCTCAGAGGCCCGTATCTTTCGAAATGCAACTTTTAATCAATTTTGCTTACTATAGTCTCTTCTAAAGGGTTTCAACTGCATTAGCTAGGCTGATTGATGGAAATCAATTATTACGGAGAAGCATCGTCTTTACACTACTTTCCTTCCATCAATGTTAATTGTTCCGCTTGTTTTCGCAGCGCGGTCTTAAGAGAAACATTTTCGGTTTTCTTTGAAGCAGGCATCTTTACATCAGTCTTCTCTCCCTTGTTCTGGACACTTTGGCTTTGCTCGCTGGCTTTGGTTTGAGATTTGTTGGAAACCTTCCCCTCTCCATTGACTGCCCCTGTTTTCGCATCCTCCTTCGCGGAAACATTTTCCGTCTTCGGTGGAGTAGAACCCTTTACTTTAATCTTCTCCACCAAGTTCTTTACTCCTTGGCTGAGCTCGCTGACTTTGGTCTGGGATTTGTTGGAATGCTTTCCCTCTTCATTGACCACACCTGTTTTCGCAGCCTCCTTCGCGGCAACATTTTCGGTTTTCTGTGGAGCAGAACTCATTTTAACTTCAATTTTTTCCACCATGTTCTGCACACCTGGGCTTAGCTCGCCTCCTTTTGTTGGGGTCTTGTTGAAAACCCTTCCCTCTCCTTGGACTACACCGGCTTCTTTTAAAGGGGCCACTTTAAGCGAGGAAGTTGCCTTTTCCTTCTCTTCGGTTACGTCGGAAATCTTCGCCCCCTGGCCTTCGTCCTGTTCGTCACCCTCGTTCTCATATTCGGTATTGTCGTCGTCGCCGTTGTCTTCCAATGAGTCGCTATCCTCTTGTTCGTCGGGATCCGGAACGTAGTCGGGATCTTCATCGGAAGCGTAGTCCTGGGGAACACTGATAAGCTCTACTGTCAATGTTTCCTCGCCGTCTTCCTTGTCGAACTTCCGCTTCCGCTCGGGAGAAACCGGAAATGGTTCCGAAGCTTCAATGATTCGGTGGTAGTCGCCTTTTGGTTTATAACGAGTAGATCTCCGAGGCTTTTGCTTCCGGCCCAGGACCTCCTGTCGGAATAAGCATACGACAACACCATTGACTTAAAAAAACTCGTGAAAAGCGATAAATCAGTACAAACGCCTTTTTTTTATTTTCTACAGTTAAACAAGAAAATAGAGTTGAATTTGTTGCTCGTCGATTTAGTTCATTCCATATTGTCCACTCCTTAGTAAAGATCCCAAAAGCGAAAACGAGACGAGACTCACCCCAGACCTCTCGTTATTAAGAAGCGTTCATGTGGCTTCGCCGACCTATAATAGGCCATTTCTGAATTACCCTTAGCCTCTTTCTCAAAACGAGTCTTGGTGTCCATGCCTTCATATGAAAACGAGATTTCCTTCACGTGCAAATTAAACTCATTTTCACATTGAAAGAGAGGCTCAAGGCAACTCGGAAATGGGCTTTTTTGTTTTCCTCTCGTGATTTTTTTTCGTTGTTACCGTGAAAGAGTTGTTGTTAACATACCCTTCCATCATCCAGGACCACTGGAGAGAAGAAAACTTTGTCATTATCGCTACGGTCGAAGAGGGCTGCTAACATTTTGTCCACTACCTAGAATTTTGGAAAAGCCTTCATTATTAATTGTTTGGCGACTGTGGTCCTTGCATTATTTAAAATATTCATTTTTTTTTTTTAATTAACGTGAGAACCACAGTTATTTGTTCCTTAGACGGCCAGTTATTCACAAAATAAAATTGATCAGCTTAAAAGTGACTAGCAACTGATTATTCACGGTATTCCAGGTAACATTTTGCTAAAACTACACTCTAGTTAAGCTCTGGGCCAGTTGAGAACCAAGAGGAGATGAGAGGGAGAGTACAAAGGGCTTATTCCCAAGGAAACCCCCTCAAGTTATTTTAAGATCACTCTCGATGGCATCCGATGATGCGGGTTTTTCTTTGCCTAGTTCCTAGGCCTCAATATTTCGCCGCGGTCAGTGGTTTCGGGTCAAGTGGTCTGGAGCGAAAATTTAAGTGTGAGCCGTTCGTTTTGGACACGTCACCTAAATCAATTGACCGTGTAGACCTGGGAGACTGACCAAGGGTATTCTCAAGTGGACAGCATTTTCATCATCCACGAAGACATCCACGCAACACGCGTGTTAACATTAGAGGGGGAAGACCTGGGAAGCATGTCTAAAATAACTTGAGAAGGATTACCCAAAGAATAAGGCCTATATGGGGGATCAACTCACTACCCTTCATTTTGTCTTGCCAGGTCTTGCCAGAACTTATAAATGTGTTTATGAAAACGTCGAGGCAGGTTTTTACCGGTAAATGGTGTAGCACGCTCTTTGTGGTATCCAAAGACCACAGAGCCACTGTTTTGGCGCCATTAAATCCAGCCAGCGTGACTCGCAATGGAACCGAGGCTGCGACAAGAAGTACCTGGAGATAGAGGGACGGACACTGTATGAGAGATCCAGCATATCTCGCGTACACATTTACTCAAATATAATTTACATGAAACTAAAGCATGCATTCTAAACGCTTTTCAGTCCCGTCCGTACCTTTTCTCCTCCATCCACGAAGCTATTAATAATCGCCCGGATTCGATCGACCTTGGTTTGAATAATCGGGGGGCCATCCTTCTCAACGTCTTTTGGTTTTCGCTGGGGTGGGTTGAAGTAATCAACTGCTGCTTCTGTCACAGTAAGTAATACCTCCAGAACGTCAGATTGCTCGAGCTTTGCGTTTCCGGCCGCCACAATCTGACAAAATAGACAAGGTAGGCCACTAAGTAAACAAGGTCTGATTTATGAGTGGCATTCCAGGCGCGCCAATAATTAATTGCGTGTAACTTAAGCACCATCATGAAACTCGACGAAATACGTTACCCATGTTTTTATTACACTTGGGAGGCTTTCACTCGTGTCCAAAGTAATTTGCATATACTATGGTTTTGTATTACCAAACTACATGATTGGTTTAAAAAGCTCGTGCAACTCTGTCATCCAATCAGAAGTAAAACCAACACTAATCGTGACTCGTTCGCTAGCGTTTTCCCGCGCTTCGCGTCAGCTGCAAATATTTTCTTCGAGTTTTGATTGGTTCATCGGATTGCTTGTGTCTTATGTGTTTGGCCAGAGTGATAACTATGGTTTTGGTCTTTCGGCACTCAATTGAAAACCACTCTAACAACAAATGCTTTACCGATCACATTTAACCGAATTTGAAACAGCAAGCACAATCAAAGGACAGCTTATCGTCTTGTTTTTATTGTGTCAGATCAATTATTTTAAATTTTCCCCAGAAAGTTAGCGTCCTTACGTACCTTGCCTGTGCAGTCTTTTACCTCTGGCCATTTGTTCTCCAAGAACTGCAGTCCGTTGCAAGCCATGTTATCAACTTGAGAAACTGTTCAAGTGATGATAGAACATGTTACCAATAAGACTGGGTCACATGTATAAAGAGGAAATGGCTTTTCTTTTGAATACTAGCCTAGTGAATTATCATTTTCATGAGTGGGTGGGTTATTTCTACCGACGCAAAAGTTTAAGCGTAAGTACAAGAATTAGCATGTCTCGTCCTCAGGCCGGGACACACGTTCTCTTTAAGAGAATCGAGCTGTTGTTGTTTATTATGAGCCTGCGTTTTCCCTTGTGTTTATGTTGTTGTGTCCCGCTTGCTTATGCTGGTGCCTGTCTGTATGTGCACCGAGCCTTGTGAAGGGTCAGTTCTACCTTACGAGACTCATTTTGATACAGAGGCTAAGTAAGTCTCTTGTTCGCCTCTTTCTTTTCTCAAAGTCTTTTTCTAACCTACAGTTCAGCTTACAATGAAGTCACTGTTGTTCTACCGACCACCATCAGGAGGCAAAGAAATTCGACCTCTTTGGGCCTTGCTTAATATATGCACGGTATTCATGAATTAGATTTGGTTCTCTAGCTACGCGCGCGCGGGTGCACCGGGTGAAGTTCGCGCTTTAGCAATCTGTATCAAAATGGGCAATTTACTGGTCTAAATATAATATCTAACTAGAGTACAAAAATTACGTTGTTTGTCATGAATGGGAATACTGACAATAGCCGTCAATACTTGCTTGTCCAATTCAACATTAACTAAGTTAAAATCAGAAACCGAATTCAGATGTCTTCGATTTATAAACAACTACTAAATAGATAATATAGAGAGTGCTCTTAAAACTTCAGTACTCATCTTGAAATAAGTTTACTCGTCTTAACATTTTACTCTTCTTAAAAGTTTTCACGACGTCTTTTAAGAGACCAGTATCTTGTCACATGCTTCATCAGGTGCGAGTTTCAAGAATGGCCTACACCTTACAGCCGGGATTTTGTAGGGGCCTACCTTTCTTTTCAAAGCTGCCTTTCAGACTCCCAACCAAACCAGACGAAGGCAAAGCAGTGTATGTAACCTTCACAGCGGCCCCGACCGCCTTCAACGACACTTCAGTTGCGCTCAAACCGATCATGGCGACTTTACTCTTTTCTTTGGCGAGGTCGTATATGCCCGTTACTCGACCACATGTTGATTTGACAATCGGTAATTCAACCAGTCGGTTGAAAACTCTCGGCATTTGCAAAGGAGACCTGATAATTTCGCTTTCAGGGACGTGTTTGCTCTCTTCGCCTTCCATGACGGCCGTTCCCTCGGCAAGAAGGCGTGAACCGAACAACTTCACTGCTCGGCACCTTTAAAATCGTTTTGCGAGTTGAGCAATTTGCATATTCACCATGGGATGCACGCGGAATGTTTTAATCTAAATTATGCGGCAGCAAACACTTTTTTATTCAGGCGACAAAACGACATTTTTTAGGCCTTGTCACACTGAAATGGCACCGAATGTTTTCCGTCCAAACTGCGTCTGAGAAATTTAAAACGTCACAATCACCTGTTATTTTGGAGGGTCTCAATATTTTGGCATTTTGACGGCTAGCGATTACTTTATTTTCCTTATGGTTAAAAGAAATGTTCGAAACAATTGCCATTGTTTTAAAAAGTTAGAAATTTATTTTCAAGGTCAAAAAAGGTTAAAAATTTATTTTGATTATTGTAAAACATATTTAAAGTCTGGGCTTGGCTCAAGCTTTATTTGACCCCAAAAAGTATCACTTTAAAATGGACAGACAACGTTTTATTCGCTGTTAATCCCACCATCCCGCCCTTTTTTGCCTGGAAATCCCGATCCCGCCTACTTTTCAAAGACGTTTCTGCGTTAATTATTAATTTTGTAAATTAATAATTAATTTAATTATTAACACAGAAACTTTTTAAAAATAGATATCGCATAAAATATCAGAAAGATTTAATAGGTAGCAGATAGGTAAGCACAAATGATTATAACGTTCTTTCTGTAAACTGTTTACTGTTTTGTTTTCTTTTGGCTACGTATCAGTAAAAGAAAGTTATGTTTCATTACCATATTCAGGGATGGCCCGTAAACACACCTGACAGTTTCTTTCAGAGCTTTCAGCGTCTTCACTTTCCTTGAAATCTGGGCTCAGAACTTTTCTTTCCGAATGAAGGCATTCTCGCTCGCACATACTTTTCGTAATATATGGCGACGCAATTTATAATGTCTCATACTTCGTTCGGTAAATCCGTCACTATCACCGCCACCCAATGTGGCCATCCTGGCCAAGACAAGCGCTATAGAAAAGGTCGAATGACTAGAAAAACTAGAAAGGCCGGGCCGGGGACGGGGGAAGGTCAAGATTACGTTCGCAAACGTCGAAAATGTGGGAAATGGATGGATGTCATTGATGTCAGAGGATCGCAATAGGACTCAAAGACTTCGTACAGTCTCATGATACTAACTTAGTCAAGCGATAATGGCTGCGTTTGACCGAACCTGACAGGGTACAGAGCCGTTGCCACTCTTACTTGAAACCTGACACAGCTATACGCACAAAAGGTTCATTTCTGCCCAACTTGCGGTTTTTGCGCTGGTCTGTTCCCCTTGCGAATATCGCATCCCAACCCCATAAAAACACGAAATCCCGCTCCCGCTCGTAATTGTAATTCCCGCTTCCCGCCCCTNGGTTTTTGCGCTGGTCTGTTCCCCTTGCGAATATCGCATCCCAACCCCATAAAAACACGAAATCCCGCTCCCGCTCGTAATTGTAATTCCCGCTTCCCGCCCCTGTTTTCAGCTCAAATCTGGAATATCACGGCGAAAAAAAAGCCAAATCTCGCATCCCGCCAAACCTATTGGGGACCCTCATATTACTGAAACCAGGAGCTCATGACCGAAACATTTCCCGATGCAATTTGCCTTGTAATAGTAACCTTGTATAATTTTCAAAAAGGTCAGTTGCCTTCATGCCAAAAGAAAGGTCTGTATTTTGCTCTATGATCTAAGGACGATTTTTTTAGCTTAAATTGTCTTCTGGCAAATGTAAATGTTTTTTAAAAAGTATTTACAGTGGAATCCATTCGGGATTTTCCCTGGAAATTCCGCGGCTGGAAACGTCACGAACTGCGGTCATTTCGCAGCAACTAAAAGTACAAAGTTCAGATTCTACGGCGAGCCAAGATGGTTTCAATCCGTGGCCGTCAAAACATGGGCGTGCGCACTCGGAACGGGAATGTAGAACTACACGTACCATGTCATGAGCGTGTGTCAGTTGTTCCGCGTTGTGGGGCGCAAAATTGCACGAGTCTTAATATGAGCTGGTGGCTTCCATACGATTACTCGATTATTACATGGCTGAGTAAAGCAGTGATTTCTCCACGCACAACAAAGTGCGAATTCGGGCGAAAATACGGACTGTTTTGTAATGTAGTCTGCCCGTATGGGCAAAGGAAGAACTAAATCAATAAGTCAAGACGAGACATCACGTGATTAGAACGTACTGACGGAACACTTGATCAGCGTTGACAGGGTTATAGCCGCTGGCATAGCATAGAGAGTCGGCTGGATTTGTAATTCACGTATCGGAGTTATGGCCGGCGGAGAGCCGAGCGTGCCACATGGAAATATTACGTGTCGATCCGCTTCCAGCCCAAGCTGCATTCATTCCAGGCGGAAAAGTACAAGAAACGTCGAGAGAGGAGAGCGGGGCGTCGAGAGGAGAGCAGGGCGGGAAAGCGCTTCTTGCACGCGTTTCTCCTGCACTCTGCTAACCGAACGCTAACCTGTGGTCAGGCGTTCTACGTATACCAGCAGGATCTTCGTTCCGGTTGCTTGCTTAATTAAAGTGGTAGTATGATCAAATTTTTACCCCTTGATTTTTTAGGTACATCACATAGAATTCCACGAAGGAATAAAAACGCCGTTTACCGTTTGCAAATATCTACATTAGTTCCGGAGATATTTAAGTTTGAAAAATGTGTAAATATGCAAATGACATGACTGGTGATGTCATATACTCAACCCAATATTATATCAAGTATTTTATATAGAGCTACCTTGACCAATTTGCAACGCAGAGCATTGGAACTTGGTAGGCTAATAGTTCTACAGAAAACACACGTTACCTCCGGCTATAAAAAATTCTGTCCTCATGGCAACTCACTCTTTTCCAGTCCCCACCCACCTGATTTCAATATGTTAGTTATTTTCAGCTCGAAAAACGTTAAACGAGGCCACAAACTCGGGCTAACATATTTATATGCTTGCTGGACCGTGCATATGAGGCACCATTTGCAAATATAAAAATGGAATGCCAAAGGTGGCCAGAAATGCCTTTAATATTGAGGAGGTCTGGAACCCAGTATCTTGCCATGGTAACAAAACTGTTATGCTCGAATTGCGTAGCAAATTTAGTAGAATCTTTCTGCAAAGAATCAAACATTTCTGATACAAATTGGCTGAGACATCTTTTTTCATCATTTCTGATGAAAATTTGGTTGAGTGTATGATGTCATCACTTTGCTAATTTGCATATTTTAAAAACTTGAATATCTCGGGAACGAAAAAAGATATTTGAAAATAGTAAACAGCATTTTTCTTCTCATGCAGGCTACTTGTTTATGTTTTAAAATGGCTTCGTTAGGAAAGATGCGATTTTCCTCATAGTACCACTTTAAACATTTTACAGTTCTTTTTTGGGTACCCCCCAAAATAGAAAGCCTGAAACAGGTATTACCGGGTATTTCGGTGGAATGTTTCCACTGGCGGAAGTCTTACCACATGGGGTGAAAAAATACAGAACTCGACACTTTGTCACTCCCGCCTTGCGGACACCCCGCTATTGACAAAGAGCTCGCTCTAAACTACACCCCTGACCGAAACTACAAAGAAATGTATAGAAGAAACTACCACTATTTTTGAAATTGTCCCGCATCTGCGTCGGATTACATTGTGTACCAAATAAAAAAAAAACAGTTAATCGTGAAAACAGCACACTTCATGTGGTCCCAAACTAATATTTTTATCCCGGTTCCTCTCTAACTGGCTAGTTACAATCGACAACTTCGGGGGTACTCCCTGATATGGGCTTTTTAGGTATGTGCGACCCTAAAGGAGTTTTTTTTTTTTTTTTGCAGCCGTTTTGGTCAGAGATATAGAGTATCGATTTTGGTCTCAATTAGCTATCTTTTTTGCGCTTAAGTCTTGAATTAGGTATGTTCTTAGAAGGAGTTACGTTTTCATCATTATTAAGAGGAAATGTTGTCATTATCGATCAAAGTCCCTTCGCAATGCCTTTAAACATCGGTCTGAACTACGAAAGGTCTGAAACAGGGTATTGATTTGGGTCAAGTTTTGTATTAAAAAGGGTATCAAACTTTTGGGCGGGTCATAAGTAAGGTAAGGAAAATCGTAGATTTTAGTCCTAAATAGGGTAAGGGTTTTGGGAAGCGGCGCGCACACCCCCACTCGATTGTTCTGGGAATACCCCTCCGGAGCGGACAACTTGAGTAGCTTGGATGTATCGACCGACTGTAACAATGACTGAAATTTATTCTTTAGTATTGAAATGTTCAGTACATTCTATGCACTATTTTGTCCAATATTATAGGAGGAGTGGCAAATGGTCCATCAAAAACTCTGGGTCTCGCAAATTTGAGTCCAATTCCTCGTTTTTTCCGTCCGGTATGTGCGTGCCGCAGTCCTCGATTTTTTTCAAGGCTAAGAAAGTCTGGAAGTCCCTATTCGTTTGTTTGTTTTTATAAATGATGTATTCTCGTCATTTGACTATTAAATTTTGATAACAGCTGTTGATAATGAAACTTTGAAATTTCCGAGAAAGGTATTAAATATCCTAAATTATCCTCAATTATCTGAATTTCACAATCCTTCTTTCACAAACCTACTGCAATACAATTTTGAAATTTTTGGCCTAGGTGATTTAAAATCGGTGTAATTTCACGACAAACGTAAGAGATATTTAGACAGTTTTTCGAGATGTAAGACAATTTTGTGTGATATTTAGAAAATTTCTTGAGAATTTCCGGAGCAATAGAGAGGTTGGGTAAGCATGACGTTAACGGCAGACGGCAAACGGCAAAGATAACTTTTGATTTTGAGTTCTTTTCTTCTAATCCGTAAGTAAAGCACACAAAAATGGAATACCTTCTCCTACTATTCATTGCAAATACAAATAATTTCACCCTACTGTACACACAACTGAAGAGAGACGGCAAAAGTTCCATTTTTGCCGTTTGCCGTTTGCCGTAAACGTCATGCTTAACCTCTCTAATATTAAGGCGATTTTACGTGATATTCGTGGAAAGCCCTAACTAAGTCGAAGAACTTTTGTCCCCTGTGGAATTGTGTAATTATGGAGTTTATTGACTGTTGACAGATTTTCAGATTTGATTTCTCGTAAATACAAGCGTTTTACAACTGAAGGCTCCTGTGTTATGTAAGACCTTTGTAAGTTGTAAATGGTGCGTACCACAAATTGAAAGAAAATGAAAATTTTAAAAGATTATCGCAATATACGTTATATGTGACACTTCACAACAAGAAATGGGTCATTTTCATCACACCAGGCTATTCTCGCTGTTTAATATGGACACGAAGTGATGTCCGCGGTAACGAGAGTTGACTGTTGATAAACATAACACCCCGCTAATACCAGAAGTAAAATACGATTTTTTGGCTTTCTCCTCAGCGAACTGTTCAGATAATGTTGTGTTATTTAAAATACCGAAAAAACTACATACTTTTTTTTTTTCAGGATCCGATTATTTTGGTCCGTGAGTGTTCGCTATTTCTTCCGCTGTGAGATCTTTGA